ATGAAACCCGTACCCGACCCGCCCCATTGCCATCCCTAATCTCACTCCCCCATCTCAAAATCGCAACACTTATTTTCTTTTCTCTCCCTTATCCTTCCCACTCCATCATTTCAAACCCTATATCCCCTTTTTTTTAACCACATTCTTTGTCATATTATTTTTATTACATGATTTGGAAGTTATAAATTAATTCCTAACTAGGAAGCACTGCCACCTTTGTTGAAATTAATTTATATTTTCCTTTATATGTTTTCTTGAGTTTTAATACTTACATGTTGACTTTTTATGATTTATGAGTTACAAATGTGAATCTTTTACCTTATGATATTTGAGACAATTGTTTTATCCATGAAAGATGTTATCAAACTATGAAAGATTTTATTTACTCAAAAAGAAAAAAAAATATTTTTTACGTTTATTGTGTATTAATGTTGGGGTAGAGGATGTCACAAAATTAAAGTTTATGATAAATATTTAAAAATAAGGTGAAGTTTTATGATTAATTAGAATAAATTTAATGTTTAGGGTGTCTATTTAAAATAAGGTGAAGTTTTATGATTGATTAGAATAAATTTAATGTTTAGGGTGTCTATTTATAATAGCAATAAAATTTAGGGTGGATGAATACTTTGTTCCCTTTAAAAAATTTATAATATTATATTTAAAATTTATAATAAATTATATATATATATATATTATGTTGTATCCTTCCCACTCCATCATTTCAAACCCTATATCCCCTTTTTTTTAACCACATTCTTTGTCATATTATTTTTATTACATGATTTGGAAGTTATAAATTAATTCCTAACTAGGAAGCACTGCCACCTTTGTTGAAATTAATTTATATTTTCCTTTATATGTTTTCTTGAGTTTTAATACTTACATGTTGACTTTTTATGATTTATGAGTTACAAATGTGAATCTTTTACCTTATGATATTTGAGACAATTGTTTTATCCATGAAAGATGTTATCAAACTATGAAAGATTTTATTTACTCAAAAAGAAAAAAAAATATTTTTTACGTTTATTGTGTATTAATGTTGGGGTAGAGGATGTCACAAAATTAAAGTTTATGATAAATATTTAAAAATAAGGTGAAGTTTTATGATTAATTAGAATAAATTTAATGTTTAGGGTGTCTATTTAAAATAAGGTGAAGTTTTATGATTGATTAGAATAAATTTAATGTTTAGGGTGTCTAAGCAACAATATCAAAATAGAAGCACAAGCACAAGTTCACTAGAGAAGCATAAACAAATAGGCATATACCTATATAGCAGGTCCAGCTACTGTGTCCTGTAGAAGAGTTTGAAAATAGTCATTTTCATGGGGCAGTGACCCATTCAATTCATTCTTTACATAAGCTATCAGTAGAGTAATGAACTAATGACAGCAAGGGAGTTATACCTTCAAATCTGAGTGCCTCTTGTGCTTTGATTCATCAGTGTCGGCATATCTCTTAATAGCTCTTAAACTTGCCCACCTATACAAAGTAAAATACATGGAATTCAACACATGATAAATTTCAATATGAAATTAAAATAGAAAAACAGCATTTCACTCACATGTTTGTTGTATCGATAAGCTTGAAATTATCCTGCAACTTCAACACAACAATCAGGAAAAATAAATGAAAATAAAAAAGAAAACAGTATTATTATAATATTCTCACGAGTCTTGTCAGCAATTCACAATAAAACTTTTATAACTATTGCATAAGATGAACAAAATAATATAAATGCGTATATGTTGTCAGAATATATATATATATATATATACTTACATGTTTATCTTTCCTCCAAATTAAAGAATGCAAATCCTCTTTCCTCCGGAGTGTTGTATTGCCCATACCAGATTTGATTTGCTCTCCTTCAATTCTTTTGACACGGCAACATAGATTGGCTGATCAACCACACTTGGATTAGGTTCCTCCAAATTTTCTCCCCCAACATCAACAGAAAAAGACCTCACAGAACCCATCCTTTGTGTAGTTGTAGGCACAAGACTGACCACAGCCATTCTAAGCAAGATTATTGAATCACCCACCAAAAAACAAAGAATTCAACTCTCTCTCGGCCAAAAAAAAAAAAACTCAACTTTCTCTCTCAACAATTGGTAATTATCTCTATAACCCCCACTACTACTTTCAACCCATAAATTAATCATCAAAATCTCTCAAACCCACCAAAAATTCTTTCACTAGAACTCAAAAAACCAACAAAAATAGAAAATTTCTATGTTGCCTGCAATTTGCAGATATGATGCTGAAGAAAACTTTCACCCTAATAATAAAGAGACAAAAATAAAACAAAAACAAAAAGAAAAAAACCTTAACTCGTTGTCTTTAACCCCAACTCACTTCAAAGATTCACACAGAGTGTGATGGGAATGGAAAGAACTTCAAAGAAAAAAACTTTCTCATTGTTCTCTGGTGGCCCCACAAACTTGAATACTTCCAAATATGTGAGGCAGTTGTAAGAGGATTCACCAAATTCTAAGCATTTGATATACCTTGGACACTGCACTTTGTGCAGCCAACCCAAGAGCAGTAGCATGTAATCCTTCAATTTCCTTCTTATCCGTGATTAGCTTTTCAAACTTCTTCGTTGCATCCAGAACATTCTCATCAAATTTGTGTGATAACCTTTCCAGCTCTTATGGATGAAATCATGACAGAAAATAAAAAAAAATATAACCAAAAGGAAAGCACAATTACTTGAAATATTGTTATGAAGTCCAATCACTTTGCTTCTGGAATTTGAGCATAAGAGAAGCAATATTTAATCAAAAACTTGTTACTTAGCTTAATTTCGAGTTTGGATATTAAGCAAAAACCTCCACTGACATGTAATAATGCTAATAAAATTAGGATTTCAAAGTGTTGTTCAAAATTCATATAGTGCATATGGATCCTTCTCAACTTTCAAAATTTTCGATTTCAACAGAATTTTACCAGTTCATAATGCCTATTCTGTTACTTGAAAGTCACACAAGACATGTACAATTAAGATCTCATTTTCCACCCATGACAGAGAAAAGGATAGGCTCGATTGCTTCCATAGAACAAAGATAAAGTCATATAACCAAACCTAGCACATAACCACTATAAATGATGGGAATCAAATAGCATATGCTACTAATAGCTATTAACTCAGAAGTATAAAAAGTATCAACGACAACGAAGAAATATAGAAACTATTAATAACTTCCATTAGTAATTTATATTCTTCATCAACAATCTAATACTCATACGACAACAACTAGCATGGAGTTCTAATACTCAAGGAAGCCGCCACAAATCACACATTTTTTTGTAGTGGTATATACCCAATATCCGACGGGGACGAAAATGGGGATGAAAATCACATACTCGACGGGTACGGGTACGGGGACGGGGATGGGTTTGACTCGCGGGGACGGGGACGGGTATCATGAAACCCGTACCCGACCCGCCCCATTGCCATCCCTAATCTCACTCCCCCATCTCAAAATCGCAACACTTATTTTCTTTTCTCTCCCTTATCCTTCCCACTCCATCATTTCAAACCCTATATCCCCTTTTTTTTAACCACATTCTTTGTCATATTATTTTTATTACATGATTTGGAAGTTATAAATTAATTCCTAACTAGGAAGCACTGCCACCTTTGTTGAAATTAATTTATATTTTCCTTTATATGTTTTCTTGAGTTATTATAGAATATCCTAAAAACATTCTCGCGCAATATAATAATTCATGTTTAATATATAGGTTTTGATTTTTATCTTAAAAATGTGTTTTAAACACTCTTATCTATTTTAATTATTTTATATAAGGCTTAAATATTTTTTATTTTCTTAAATTTAAGGTAAATTTAGTTTTAGTCCCTTAAATTTAAAACTTGTCTTTTTAGGTTTGTAATTTCAAAAAATTTTATTTTATTCTTTATACTCAAATTTTGTTAGAAAAATTTTCAAATAATGTTACATAAATCTACTTACTATTATCTCTATTAGTAAAAACATCACATTAAACTCCGCTAATATTGTATAATTGTCTTAAATTTTTACTTTCAGATATATTATTGGTGACATAAGAGCTAAAATAAGATTTTTAAAAATTATAAAACTAAAAACAACAATTTAATATTTGAAAAACTAAAAATAAAACTTTAAATTTGAGAGACTAAAAATATGTTTAAGTTTTTATCTTAATATCATTATTGTTTCTAGGAATACATCGGTCATTTTATTATTTCTCTGGTCCCGCTTTAGAAAAATTATTAAAAATCTAAACAGAAAGTATATTAATTATTTTGAACATAGTTTGCATATTCAGAACTTATGAATTTCCACTCGCACGTTCTAAACAAATATTGAATAAATAAAAAACAGTAAAGAAAAAATGAGGGTATTACATGCGTGATATTAAAACTTATATAATAAGTTAATTTTTTTTGGGTCCATATATAACAACTTAAGTTAAAAGTATTTAATTGATTTAACTAAAAAAGATTTATAAATAAATTGTATTTTAATTATTTTTTTTTATAAAACTCTTAACAACAAATTATTAATATAAGTGATGCTCTTTTAAATATGTTATCAAATTCAAATTTCATATATAAAAAAACGAAATTGAGAAAAGAAGTTTCACCTAGAATTATCATAAATTTGTACCAATGTTATGAAACTTGAACCCGTTATATTGGAAATCGGACACAAAGCCAGTGTTTGATCACTTTAATTGAATCAGAAATGCATATTTCAATTGGTATGACGTTAACTCGGTGTTAAATCAAAGTTAATTGAACCGGCTACATAAGTGAGGAGATAGTGCTTCTCGTAAGATTAGAACCCAGGTGACTTGGGTTATTAAAATAAAATATAAAAAAATATGCCACTATACTAATATAACATTTTCAATTATATATGAAAAAAATTTAATTTTATACTATGTTTTAAATGTAAAATTATATATTTAAAAATATGTATGTAGTTTAATTATTATCTTCCTGGTTCAATCAATAACTTATTGGTTCGATCAGTGACTCATTAACTTGACACTTTGAATAAATTGATTACTAATCTAGTTTGATAATATTATTTTATACTAATAATGTAATTATAAAAATAATCTTACTTAAGAGCTCTATTAATTAATTAATTATTTCAATTAGTAATTTTAAACAACTTTTTTCTTTCTATTTTTTTAATCAACAAACTAGAAGTATATTTTTATGCATGTCTAATACAAATGTAGCCATAGCAACAAGAAGATATAAGACATGCCTAATGTATTACACTTTGAAATCTATCACTACTCCTTGTTGGAAAGCACCAAAATGGTTATACGATATATTGCTATATGAAGAAAATATTGCATATCCATTGTGTTCCCGTCAAATCTCACCTGAACTGCAAACTTTTTATACCAACCAAAATCAAAATACATTTCCCATGTAGATGATCTAAATCATATCACCAATTTGCAAAGCAAAAAGCTATTGTGAGTTTCCCTAGACTTGAAAGATTATGCAAATATGCATGCAATGAAGGTGATATTCCATTGTACAAATAAACGTGTGACAAAAGAAGGCTCGAATGTTCTCAATCAAGACCAACTGTGCAACAAAAGATCATGCATAACAACTTCTTGGTTAAAGATTTTATCCTTGAAAATAGTATGGTTCTAGTGTTCCAAAGCACCCAAATAACAGCACACCAAATGTACCTCCACCTTGTATTTGCTTTAGTAGTCTCATGTGGAATATCAGGTTGCCAATAATGAGCCTCAACATTACTAGGGCAAACAATTATCATATTAAGACTACTTGAGAAAAAAACATTCAGATGCTCTCAACAAATTTGCAATTGAACAAGTTGTGGAATATTGTTTATTTCGCATTCTTACAGAAAGGGCACAAGAGGTCATTATTTTTGTACCCACACATTCCTTCTTTTTAAATTATTCCCTATTGGTAGCACATTATTCATCAACCTCCCACTACAAGAAAAATCAGTATTATCTACGGAAATTTTTATAGATAATCATGAAAATCCGTAGGTAACTGTCAATTATCTACGGATTATCTACGGGAAAAAATCCGTAGGTAATAAGGTAGTAGATAACGTTATCTACGAAATTTTCCGTAGATAACGTTATCTACGAAATTTTTCATAAATAACCCACGAAAGTTGTTATCTACGGATTTTATCCATAGATAACTTTCAGAAAAATTTTGTTTAATTTTAATAAATTTATTAATGTAGCAATCCTCATATTTGGCCTCTCAAGGATGTTATTTCATGACACTTCACTTTTCAACGTGTTTTGTCCTTACTGCACATTTTCTGTGGAGTTCTTATGAGATAAGCTACTGAAAAGCAAATGCATGTTATTAGTATAAGTAACACAAATTAATTCATTTAAGTCATTCTCAACTATACAATCTCATACTTATATTATTATTATTATTATTATCATTATTATTATTATTATTATTATTATAATTATTATTATTATCATTATTATAATTATTATAATTATTATAATAATTATTATTATCATTATTATCATTTTTATTTTTATTATTATTATTATTATTATTATTATTCGTGAGTTATTTACGGAAAATTTTGTAAGTAACGTTACCTACGGAATTTTCCATAGATAATCAACGAAACTTATTATTATTATTATTTGTGGGTTATCTACGAAAAATTTCATAGGTAACGTTACCTACAGAAAATTTCGTAGATAACAACTTTTGTGAGTTATCTACAGAAAATTCCGTAGGTAACATTACTTACGGAAAATTTCATAGGTAATGTTACCTACGAAAAATTATGTAGGAAACGTTACCTACGGAAAATTCCTTAGATAACACCTTTCGTGGGTTATTTACGAAAAATTTCGTAGATAATGTTACCTACGGAATTTTTTGAAAACATTATTATTATTATTATTATTATTATAATAATAATAACTAGCGGGGCCAAGGCACTTCATGCCTCTCTATATGTATTTTTTCTTCAAATTTAAAATAACTCACGAGTTGAATGAATTTATTTGTCGACATATAATCATATAAATAATTTTAATTATTTATATGATTAATTTAATCATTGTTTATTGATGAAGTGCATATTAATTGCATCGTAATATTGTAAAATTTTAAATATTTGTCAACTTTTTTAACTTTATGTATTTATTGTTTTTTATTTAATAAATACAATTTTATTTTATGTTTTATGTATTTTATATATAACAATGACATAAATATAAGACAAAATTTATGTTCTACATAGTTATATTTGTAAGCATTGATTAAAGTAATATATATATATATATATAATGTATTATACAACATGATGTTTTGCAATCATTAAATTTCCTTAATAGGAAGACCAAATAATGATTTCGCTTCAGCACGATTTTTAGCTTCCCTGCAATTTATGAAACAAATAAAATGTCATTTTGTTATTATTTTTAGCTAACATAACATGAAAAAAAAATATCATAATTAATGAATAATTAAATTGAATAATCTCATACCTTTCAAGAATAAATTTCAATTGTTTATTGTAACGTAGTTAGTAGAATGGAACGGGTCGTTCCCAGATTGGAATGAGCCGTTCCAGACTACTAAAACAAGGGTGATTTAGTAGCCTAGAATGGGCAGTTCCCAAACTGGAACGAGCTGTTCCAAACTACTAAATAGGCCTATGAATCTTGGACTGGAATAGGCCGTTCCAAAATGGTTATTGTGAGTTAAATTCAACTCCAGAATGGGCCATTCCGATTTTAGAACGAGTCGTTCTAGACGTGCCAGAACGGGTCGTTTTGGTTTCAGAACGGGTCGTTCTGCATGTGAATTTTACACATGATGAAGGAGCCCAGAACGGGTCGTTCCGTATTTGAAACTGGTCGTTCTGGCCACTTCAAACTTCTATAAATAGAGGTTGTGCAGTTGAGGAGAAGGAGAGGTTTTTAGAAAGAAGTTTTAGAGAGAAGGACTCTGGACTAGGAAGCTTGCTTTGGGTGGATTGAAGTCCCGGGTTGAGCTTCGGAAAGGAAATTCCACTTCTTCTCAGTTTTTTGCTATTCTGAGTCAATCTTTAGGTACGGAAAGCTAGATTGTATGTTGTTTGGTTGTATGTGAGTTTAGGAACTCATATGGAGTTGTATAATTACATTGAGATTATGATGAGTAGAAAGTGAAATGAAGAGATGCATGTTGAGTATAGTGAAATTGTTTACAAGTTGTGTGTTGAA